ATATATTAAATTAATATAAAAGATATACCTTTAAGTAATTTTAAAGTAGAACTGGTTTTGACATACATATGTTATGATCCAAAGCTACTAGGGGCGTGTTTTATTACGTGGGTCATGTATGTTGGTCCAAAGCTAATCTTAGATAGCCATATAGTTTTATTAATTATGTTTTGAAATAGGACATGTTTTGATAGCGTGGTGGCCTGCAAGACTAGTTGACGCAGCTTTTGTTAGATTTACTTTTGATCTTGCTTAGAATGTTCTATGAGATTTTGACTTTGTTTTCCTGGTATCTAGACCTTGGTTTTATGTTTATTATAGCTTCGGTAACCAACCTCGTACCTTTGTTTTTTCGTCGTTAACCTTGTGCTCTTAACTAATGAATTCTTTTAATAAAATAGGGTTGATTTATCAACTATTTGTTCATATGAATGAAAGGAGATTAATTTCTTTTAAGTAAAATTTTGAATTCAAGTCTTATGAATAAAAAAATAAATGTTGAGAGTGTTTCTTTTCTTATAATGTCCGACACGACTTAATTTCTAATTAATCAGATCTAACATGATTATTAGACATTAAGAAGTTATTATTAAAAAAATAGGATTAATTTTTTTTTCTAAATAAGAGAACTGGAGACAATATATGTGTTTAGTTATAATTTTTTTAGAAAAGTGAAATATAAAAAAATTTATAATAGAATAATAATCAAAGTAAAAGGATAACAATATAATTAAATTAAAAAAATATTTATTTACTTTAAAAATAAAATAATAATTAATTTAATACAAATTTAAAATAAAAATACGATAATTATTTTAAGATGAATATAGTTATATTTAGAACACAGCCCAAGAGTACTCCTTGCCGTAGAATAGTACATGTTTTTTTATTTAAAATTTATTCAAAAAAATAATAATCGTTCTTTTATTTAGATTTTGTTTAATATATTTATAGTTTTTAATTTTTAATTATGCTTTTCAAAAATTTAGAGATTTTAAAATAAAACTAAAAATTTTTATGAATTAATTAAATTAAAATTTTATGCTTAAATTAATAATTTTAATTTTAAATAAAACTGAAAATTTTATACTTAAGTTAATAATTTTAATTTTTAATTATTAATTTTTATTATTTAAATTTTAAAAAATAAAAATAAAAATTAAAAACTAAAATTATATTAAATAGAGTCTTAATAATACTGTAATTAAAAACCCTTCTTGTATTGGCTCGGAGTTTTATTTTTTATAAAAGAAGACGGCGCGTGCTTTACCCATACGGACCGCGTACGATTTATAGTCAGAAAAGTTCATTTAATTAGTTAGTTAGTGCTGTATTATTATTATTATTTTTTCTTTCTTGCGAAATCCTAGTCAAAATGGCTTTAAAACCGGAGATTGGATTTCCACTCAATATTAATTTTTTAACATTTTACCCATTGGAACTGCGTTTCTTAGCTACGTGCATATTTTGAACGCGCCTTTTACCACTATTGTTTTGAAACTCCGATGGACCGGTTAGTTTGATTGGAACCGATCTTAAAACCGGCCTGGATTATGATATTAATCTGGTAATAGTCAAAATCCAATCCCTGTTTGGTCAAATTCACCTAAAACTGGTAAAACTCGACAGACCCAAACTGGTTTTATTTTCATTAATTTTTTATAGTTATTTATTTTATTGATAATGTAATAATTAAATTATAAAATCTATTTAAATTCAAATTAATACTCTTTTTATTTTAGAATAATAAATATTTTTTATTTATGATTTGTTCTAAAATTACAGTTATTTTTTTCATAAGTCTTATGATTATTTTTTAATTTTAATTATTTATCTCATCATAAAAAAATATTTTTATTTTTATT